GCAGCTGGACATTGTGGACACTGTTGTTGTCTCTTGCCAGATTTGAAAAACATAACATAACACAACACAATAAAACAAAACGAAAACTCTACAGCAAACAAAAACAAGAATGGAAAGAGAAAAAACCAAAATTTCAGAGGAGTTATAAAGGAAGAAGAAAAATAACAGAAGAGGAAAAATTCAAATGAGAAGAGTAAGAAGAAATGATCATCAAGTTAGGGAGGCAAAACCCCCAAAAACAAAAAAGAGAAAAAAGGTGCAATTTAGGAGTGGGAAGGGCACCTTGTTGATGCTCTCACAACTGCTGAGACAGGTTGTGGCAGGATAATCTGGTTTGGAGTGGAATTTCTGCCAGCCTAGCAAAAGCATGGGAGAGTGATGTTCATTCCTGAGAGAGATTCTGCTTGCCTGAGAGGTGGCTGAGGGGAAAGTGCTAATCAAAACCAGAATCTTCTAAGGCCAGAATATAGTTAGTGCTATGGGGCCTGGCTAGTAATGGAGACTCTTCTGACCTGTGGGCCATTAAAGGGATTTACGTAGAATGGGATGGAGTTTTTGCTAGCCTCTGGGGACCTGGGGTAGTTTGTCTGGCTAAGCATACTGTCTTTGCCTGTCCAGAAGATGGTTGCAGGCCAGATATGCAGTCAGGGATGTACAACCTACAGGCACTAAGAAGTGGAGAATGGATATGTCCCCAAACGTGAGAGTAGCACGTACCTGTTGGTAAAAGTCTTCAATTTCTTCATACTTGTTGTTAGCAATTTGTTGAGTAATTATTAACTGCTCTTCCTTGTTGAATGGACCTCTGAGTGGATTTTCAAATGTTATTTATGATGGTGAATGCAATACTATTTCTGTTTAATTTGTCATTTCTGGCATACGCAATCTTTATTTGTTCTTATTAATTTCTGATGTCCAATTTTCCTAGGTTTATACTGTGTATATTTCCTGTTGTGATTATTAATATGTGTCTGTAGCTTTTCTCATTTTTAATCAAGGCCTAGTGATGAGAAGTTGCACTGCAGGCCCAAAGGCACATGAGTTCAAATCCACAGCTGGTCCTGGAGAGCAGGAGGGACAATCTCCTCCTGTGAGAGTCACTACCTCTGAAAACCTGCTAAAGGGTCAGCCAGGAGTGAGTTCCTACTTGACAATATATAACAATAACATCAATTAAATGTTCTGACAAATTTACTGCATTTATACCACTAAGGTCACTCCTACTTCGAAGAGGCAGTGCTGCTACCTAAGTGGGTCTTTGTTAGTGAGCGAAGTTGTAGAAAGTACTATGTAAGCATCAGCCTAGATTTGTGATTGAAAAAGAGTTTGGTTATGAAGGAAAATCAGCAGGAATCAGAATGAGTTGCCCAGAACTGCAAAGTGTCTGCTCATCTTTGGTTGAATTTCAGGGTTTTTTAACCACAAATCAAAACTGCATACAGACACAATTGTTCTTACAAGTCCACCCACTGCTGATGAATGGATTTTGATTCACAGTGGTCCTCCATCCATTTCTGTAAATCTTGATGAAAAGAAAAAAAAAATCTAGTTTACAAAGGCAAAGCATAAATTCCGAGTATGATTTCTTTTTAAGCCTACATGTATATCTAGTTTATATAAAGAAACTTTGCAAGAGCCCTTACCAGCCTCGAGAACAATTTATATTATTCCTCAAGTCATCATGACTGTTCCTGTGCAGGAAGAGATTAATGGCCTGAAGGAAGGAAACATCTGCAGCAGCAGGGGTAAGGGAAAGGGGCCTGTGTTTTGATGTTTTTAATTCTTTCTTCCTCAGCCTTTCTACCCTAATCCTTCCCCATCCCCTCTCCCTTTCTTTAGTGATTTCCAAACTGAGTGACTCTTGTTCTGGCACTATACTAGGCAACGTTTCAGTGTTACACGTTTCTCAAGGGTAAGTTTTTCAGAAATAGATTGCCAGGACTTACTTTATAGTCTAGCTTAGTCTGAAAGCGCTGTTGAAACCTGTGAACCGTCTGGTGATTCTGCTGGGATTTGGAAAATTGGTATCATAGCTTCCAGTATCACCTTAGATACACAATTTTAAGACTTAGAAGCACCATAAAAGATTTCTTTTCCTCCACCACTTAGGTTTTTGTGTCTTCTTTATTCTATTTTGTCTTAAGCCTTTATGTAGTATGATCATCCTTATCCTACTGTGTTACAGAGGGTGGTGGTTGTTACGTACCATCGATTTGCAATTGACCCATAGCTGACCCTTCAATGGGTTTTCAGAGGCAGTAATTCGAATGGGAAGAGAGTGCCCATCTTGTCCTGTGGAGCAGCTGTTAGATTCGAAGCACACGCTTCTTGCTGGTAGTGTAGCTCCTTCCCAGTAGGCCACTAGGCTTCATTTACAATGGGAAGCTTCAGCATCCAGTTTACAAGTTTCTCCTTGGAGGCGAGGATTTTGAAGCCCTGTCTCAAGTACTTTGGGCACATGGCCAGGAGGGACCAGTTCTTAGAGAAGAACATTGTGCTTGGAAGGGTGGAGGAACAGCTCTGGATGAGATGGTTTGATATGGTAGCTGAGGCAATGGAATTAGTTATGTCAGAGTCAGTGAGACTGGCTCATGTTATGGAAGGGTTCAGAGCTATTGTATACAGGGTCACTATGAGTCATGGGTGACTTGATGGGATATAACAACAACAAAGTGAAAACTATTGCTATTAAACTACTAACAGTCAATTTATCTATATTCTATATCATGTAGTAAATCATATAGGAAAAGTAAGTTTCTTCATATTTTCAGCTGTCTGGATCACTTGTTTATATGACAGAAGCTTTTTCTTCTGCAAAGGTACAGGTAAATTGGTACTGGTACATTGGTTGAAATTAAATTGCTAAAAGAGAAATTGTGTAATAGCTTGATAAAGTAGACATTTTTTCCTGAGTATCTTATTATGGAACATATTACTTTCCTACTCAACGATTTATACATGTTTAAATATGTGATAATAGTTGTAAAATAACAGCTTCCTTCCCAGTTACTCACTGCTTTCTCCATTGTGTCCATCTTTCCTGTCACTCACTGTTTTGTAAATTTTGTTTCCGGGGACAACACTGCCCTTCTTGTCTCATGTTGTTGATTGTTCTAAAGTGCAAGTTCATGGGTGTGTTTGCCGGCTTTGTAGGCCTGCCCATTGTTTGGTTGAACAGAGATTCCCTGGGAGATTGTAGAGTTCCATATTTGAAGGGCTGTAGACTCAGGGGTTCTAACTGTCTATTTCAGGCTAGTAGGTATGGTCCTGTCTTATGATTCTAAATTTTGCTTTACATTTTTCTCCTGTTCTGTCCAGGATCTTCAATTGTGACCCTGATCAGAGCAGTGGGTAGTGGTTTCCAGTCACTTTTTAGTTCTTCTGGTCTCAGTTTAGAGGAAGCTGTGGCTCGCCTGGACATTAGTGTTTTATACTAGTTATCATCACTTTTTTCCTTGAGTCTTTGTTTTTCTTTACTCTTGTTGCTCTCGATGGAGAAAGACCAATAGTTGCTTCTTAAATGGTTTATTAGAAGCTTTTTTTCTTAAAAAATATTATCATTACTTATTATTATTTGAGTAAAAGTTTACAAATAAACTTGGTTTATCCTTAACAATTCATACACATATGTTTTAGGACATTAATTGAAACTCCCACAATGTAACTGCATTCTCCTCAATCCTTTTGTGAATCTCTTCATTAATCTTTCTGTCCTACCCCTCTTGCCTTCTAAATCTGGGGACATGCTACTCTTCAGATCTTGTACAGCTGTTTCTTCTAAGGTGTAAGGACCCTCCTGGTGTTATGGCTCACTTTATGGGCCTGTCTATTGTTTGACTGAGGGTTGAGCCAAAGGATTGAATTTTCGTCCAGCTTTGAAGGGCAACTAAAGGCCATCATCTCAATGGTATCCCCCAGTCTCTGTCTGATGAGTTAGCCTGGCCAAGTACAGATTTTTGATAAAACTATAAAGGCAGAAATGAGAATGTGGGGGCAAGAAGACTAGTCAAAGTCATGAGCTAAAAAAAAAAAAGACACTGATGACATTGTTGTGGAATGTTGATGGAATTCTAAAGAAGAGAGGGAAGTGAGGGAAGGCAGACTTGGCTCGTGAAATAAATTTTGATTTAAGTTGACTGAAACTGCACAATTATTCTACAGATAGGAAAATAAAAGCTTGAGGACTCTTTATGGACTTAAATGAGTAGTTGTGTATAGTCATAAAAATGATGTTAAGGGACAAGATAGCAGCTAGAAGCCAGAGAAGTAAAAGAAATTCTAGAAATAGATCAGGGCTGAAAGGGAAGTAAAAGAATCAGTGAGAGGCTCCCGGCTGTGGGAGGCCCAGCTTTTCTCTGCTGCACAATGTGATGGAGGACAAATTGTCTTTTGCGAAAATCAGAGATTAAACATCAGAGCTGAGGGCAAATGTATCTACCCATAAGACTTTGCTCCTATTGCTGGTAGTTAACTTGTAAGGTCATGACAATGAGGGCTGTGAGAGTATGGCAACTTCCACCAAAAATCAGCTGTAGTGACTCATACAGTCAGACTTTAATAGTGTGGGCACTTTTTAAAAAATATTTTAATGAATATTTACAGAGATTTTGGATTTCCATTCATTCATTGCTGCACTTCTCTCCCCGCCCAGCCCACCCCCCCCCCCCAGTTTACTCCTGTCTTTGAAAAGTAAAAGAAAAACACCCTCCCTGGTACACAATCCACCCACACCCCTCCCACCACCCCAAGTACATTCCACTATGCAACCTTAACTGTGGACTCTTGTGATAACCATAACACCCTATCATACATTATTTTTTTCTTCTGCCCTTTTCTTTTCAACCCTTTAGGAGACTGGAGCTGGCTCCAAGACCCCAACGCAGGCAAAAGTCTCAAGATTCCTGCACTCTTCACAAGCTTATTTTGTTTCTTCCTTTTTCTAGTCTCTTCCATCCCTTCCTATTTTTTCCCTTTCTTTTACCATTCTTATCTTTCCACAGGCTTTCAGGGGCCCACCTCCTTCTACCTCATCCAGATCTCCTCTTTCATCAACAAATCCTGGACAACAAATCAAGGTTCTGGTTGGCTGGATGATTTGCAGATTCATGGCTGGAACAGTGACGCAGGCACAGCCATTTTTCTGAAGCCCTGGTCTAAGGGCAACTTCAGTGATCAGGAGATTACTGTACTAGTGGACATAATTCGAATTTACCTTGTTGGATTTACTCAAGAAGCACGAGACTTTGTCAGTCAATTCCAGATAGAATGTGAGTCGTGGGGCAGAGGTGGGGATTCTTAATGACTTTGCCTTTTATTTGGGCTGCTACTCCCTGTGGTCCTTTCTCATCTCCACTCCACTTACTCTGTGTGCACACCTCGGTCTCCTGACCTGTTCGCCCAACACCATCCAGGATTTCAGATTCCTGTATCCTCCTGATCTCTCCTATGATGAATGAAGTTCCATCCTTTCTAACCATCCCTGGCTTTGTCTAGTTTAAAACTCACTTCTTTTCTCTCAATTTTCAAACTCTCACTTTCTCTACCTTGTTTCTGTCTATCTTAGCGTGATCTATTTCTTAAACACAACTCATCTGTCTCCTTTCTGTCTACCCTCAATACAATCTTGTCCTTTCTCCTGGATCCCTAACAACCATACATTGTTACAGCAAAACCAGCCTCCTATTGAGAGCACATGCACTGTTCCCAATTCTCTTATTTCTGAACCACTCTAAACATGTTAATTGATGCTTAGCTCACCATTTCACATTTCAGATATTTCTTCCTACAAATAGCTTCCAGGTCTATTCCTTATACCTTGCTTTTAAAAGTTGCAATTAGTAGTAAATTATATATATATATTTTTTATACCTAGATCCATTTGAAGTTCAAAGCAGAGCAGGCTGTGAGCTGCGTCCTGGCGAGTTACCGAGAAGTTTCTTGATGGGAGCTCTAGGAGGAGTGGATTTCTTGAGCATCCAGAATCATTCTTTTGTACCTTCCCCAGAGAGTGGCTGGAGGGCAAAGAAGTTTTGCAGACTCGTCAGTCAGTACCAAGGAATCTGTGATACCATTGATAATCTTCTCTACAGAGTCTGCCCCCGGTTTCTCTTGGGTGTTCTTGATGCAGGGAAGGCAGATCTACAGAGGCAAGGTTGGTCCCAACATTCGCCTAATATTTCCCTGTCACTGATAATGATCCTTTAAACTCAGAAACTTCAGAGAGGAAGAATTGCTTAACGGATAAAATGCCTGATTCCCAAAGGAATAAAAGAGATTGCTGTCCAAACCTGAGGATAAGTTGAGCCTCTACATTCTGTTGTTATTAGATGCTTTTGAGTCTGAGCTGACTCCTAGCTGACCCTGCAGTGAGTTTTCAGAGGTGGTAAATTGCACAAGAAGAGATTGCCCATCCTCCTCCCTCAGAACAATTAGTGGATTCAAACTGTTTGCCTTCTTCTTTATTATAGCACCCTAATCTGAACATTCTTCCTTTTCCAGAGAAGCCTGAGGTCTGGCTGTCCAGTGGCCCCTCTCCTGGTCCTGGCCGCCTGCTGCTGGTGTGCCATGTCTCGGGATTCTACCCGAAGCCCGTGTGGGTGATGTGGATGCGGGGGGAGCAGGAGCAGCGGGGTACTCATCAAGGTGACATCCTGCCCAATGCTGATGGGACCTGGTATCTCCGAGTTACCCTGGATGTGGCAACTGGAGAGGCTGCTGGCCTGTATTGCAGAGTGAAGCACAGCAGTCTAGGTGGTCAGGACATCATCCTCTACTGGGGTGAGAAAGTGAGAAAGAACTAGGGCCCATCTACTAGAGGAGGAGATGCTCTTTAAATATGGATAGAAAGCTGTCTAGGTAAAGTTTGGCATTTGCTAGATGAAGATGATAGGGACACAGTGTAGAGATAAATGTAAGGTTGTTGAGGAAGGACAGAACCCAGTGCAGGTCAAGAAAGACAGTTAATTGAGGAGAAACTGTTGGGCTGGCTCTCAAGCAGAAGATCAGCCCCCAGTAAAAGTTAGAGGGGGATTTTATATATTTCACAAGGGACTCAGGGAAAGGGATGCTTACAGATGCTTTCTTCAAGATAGGGAAGTGGGCTAGGGTCTCAGATAACTATTCCTAGTAATAGAGAGTAGGGTAGTTTCACAGAGAGACAAAGCACAGCTTCCATTTCCTGGGATGGGGTTCTCTCAGTAGCCACTCTGGGAGAGGAAGGAAAAGGCTCTGCAGTCCTGATAATAGACAAGAAGATACAAATATGAACATGTAAACAGAGAAATAGATTAATTGGTTTCTGGGACAAGCAGGTATAAGAATAGTAAGCAAAGACATTAATAGAATAAATAGGTATTTAAAAACCTGTACATGTGGCAGACAGAGTAAGAGTGATACACAAAGGATGACTGTGGCATGTCCTGGATTATGAGATAGGGAGGCAGAATGTCACCATACACAGGAAGCAGGCCGATGGTGGTGCTGACACTCACACGGACAAAGGAAGTCCTGGGAAATTAGAGAATGCGATATTAAGTGACAAACATCTTTTACTCTCTCAACTTCCAGGGTATCCCATATCTATTGGCTTGATCTGTTTAGCAATAACAGCCCTCATCTTGCTCTTTTTGATAGTCCTTGCTTTACGGTTTATGAAACGCTGGTAAGTTTTAACTTATTAAATGTATCTATCTATTTTCACCCTCTCTTTTCTTTGCATGCTTCTCTCTGTCTCTTTTTTAAAAGAAATGTTTTACTTTATATTGATTGACCTACAAAGTTCATATACATTATTTTTCACTCTGGACTTTTCCCATTTCATTTGCCCACCACTCCCTCCACCCATAAAATGGTATCATTCTATGATTATCCCCCATATTCACCCCTGAGCTCCTTTGATCCTCATGCCCATTTTACTAGTTATCTTTCTATTTCTACAATAATGTCTTATACAGTATTTGTCCTTACGGGGCTGAGGGGGTTCACTTCCTTGCTTGCTTCAGCTAATCCTTAGACTTTCAACCAGCTCCTTTCTCCCTTCTGTTTCACTTTCATATCCTTTACTCTGAGCAAGTTTTTTATTTGTGTCTTTAACAGGTCATATCATGGCATTTAGTAAGCTGTCGTCATGTCTACTCTCTCATTAAAGAAAAGAGGCAAGAAGTTCAATAACTGAAGAGAGAGAATTCATTCATCAGAAGAAAAAAATAATTTTAACATTGTAAACTTATGACTAGCCAATACCAAGAGTAAAATGTACTCAGGTTTAATACATGTTAAAATATGAAAATTTTCTCAGAATAAATATTATATACACACAATTTAATGGTGACATTAATTTCTTTCTTTTTAAAAAAGCCTTTTTGCTTATGTTTAAGTATCTCTTTTCAAAGGAGGCTAAAAACAATTGAGCTTCTGTAATTAAATTTTTCTGTGTTGCCTGGATGATTAAATTCTCCAGGCCCAGCAAAGAGGCCACTACCTCCAGGAAGCCTTCCTAAATGTTATAAATGGAAATATAAATGGATGACTTGTCTAGAGGCCTCCAGAGACTTTTGAAGTTGTACTCATATATTTGCAGCTATTTCAGGTTTTATGCACCCTTTTGCTTTGTAAATTTCAAGAAGGCTTGTTTCTTGTGTATGTGAATTTCTGGAAAGTTCTCTCACCAACATCTTTATTTTTAACTGAGGTGATATAGCTGCCAAATTAATGTTTCTTTAAAATTATCTTCCTTTCCTTTTGTTTCACCAGTTGAAACTATAGCCCTCTTCTTCTTTTTAAAGTATTTATCACTGAATTGAAAGTCATTATATCTGTCTGTGTTTTATTTACTATGCAAAGGCATTTGATTGTGCAGATCACAACAGACTATGACTAACTGAGAAGAACAGGCATCCCAGAACACTTGATTGTGCTTATGCAAAATGTATACTTGGGCCAACAGGCAATCGTCAGAACAGAGCAAGGAAACACAGCATGGTTCAAAATCAGGATGGGTGTACACCTGTGATGTGTCCTATCTCTATACCTTTTCAGTCTATATGTGGAACAGATCATCTGAACAGGGCTCTATATAGAGGAATGTAGCATCAGGATTGGAAGAAGACTCATGAATAACCTCCATTATGCAGATGATACAACCTTGCTTGCTGAAACTGAGGAGGGCCTGAAGTCCTTGCTGCAGAAGGTCAAGTACTGTAATTTTTCATGATGGATGAAGCTCAATATCAAGAAAATAAAGATTCTCACCACTGGAACAAGTAGCAGCATCATTATAGATGGTGAAAAGATTGAGATTGTTAACAGCTTCAGTTTGCTTGGCTCCACAATCAGCACTCTTGTTGGTTTCCAGCAGCTAGGAAATCAAAAGATGAATTGCATTGGGAAAGTCAGCTGCCAGGAACCTCTCCAGAGGTTAACGATGTCAGTCTGGAGAATAAGGTGCACCTGATACAATCCATAGTCTTCACAATTACTTGCTATGTGTCAGAAAGCGGGACAGTGACTAGGGATGATAGAAGGATAATTGATGCCTTTGAGCTGTAGTGATGGAGAAGAGTATTGAATATACCATGGACTGCTAGCAGAACAGAGATTCATCCTAGAGAGGCTTAAACCAGGCTGCTCCTTGGAGGCAAGGATTCTGAAGCTTCATCTGACATACTTTGGGCATGTTGCAAGAAGGGACCAGTCCTTGGAGATGGACATCATGCTTGGTAGGGTGGAAAGACAGCACAAGAGGAGAAGACCCTGGATGAGATGGATTGATTCAGTGGCTGGGGTAATGGAGGTAGGTGTGTTAGATACAAACAAGGTTGGCTGATGATAGAGAGGGTTCAGATGTTATACATAGATAGGGTTTTGATATGAGTCACAAACAACTCGAAGGCACATAATAACAACAACATGCTCTTCTACTTTTCTTGATTGAACTCAGAACCTGTCTGGGGAAAAAAATATTATTTGTCCTCGTGGTTACTAAACTCAGAGAAGTAATAGGTTGGGAATTATTCTCCTGAATTTCCATTAAGAACAACTGAGAGACAAAGAGGACAAAAAAAATTGTGGTGGTTCATTGTAAACAGTTAAAAGTGTCAAGAAGCCTTTTTTCGTCATCAGGGATTTTGAGACCTTTTCTGTAGTTCAGTCATATCTTTGATATGATCTTTATTCATTTCTTTGCTTATTATATTGTTTCCTAGAACTTCCTTTTGAAAAATATTTCAACATACCTAAGTCCTGACACTTCAGCACCATAATTTATGGGTCATCAAGGTCAGTTGATAGAGCCTACAAAAACAATGTTACATAATTAGATCTGGTGTACAACAGCTGGTGGCCTAGGTGGTAAGCAGCTGTGCTCCCAACCCAAAAGCCCATAGTTCAAATCTGACAAGGGAAAGATGGGCAGTCTCCCCCGGTATAATTTACTTTCTCTGAAATCCCACTGGGGGCTCAGCTATGAGTTGGTTCTGACTCAGTCATACATAGCAACAACATATCACAACCAGGGTCTTAATAGTTGGCAAACAGCTATCTAAAGTATAGCTATTGGTCACTTCCTATCTGTCTATGAAAAGTGAAGAAAATCAAGGATGTACGTAAACAATTAGAACATAATACTAATGGATCTTGTGAACCTCAATCTTCACAAACATGAGACCAGAAGAACTAGATGGTGCCCAGCTACTACTGCTGACTTCTCTGAAAGGGATTGCCACAGAGAGTACCAGATAGATTAGGAAAAATGAGGAACAAAAATGAGCACTGTAGTTGGTCTAATATAGACTGGTGGAACTACTGGGACTATGGCACGTAGTTACCCTTTGATCCTGGAATTGAATTAACTTCTGTGCCTCAGCTTTCAGCCAAACAACAGAGGCAACCCCCCCAAAACCCCCCAAAAACCCCAATAATACCAGAAAGGTAATGAGGTCTTAAAACTATATTGTTGTTACACACTTCAAGTTAGAAATGACTCATATTAGATCCTCCAGTGGGGTTTCAGAGGCAGTAAATCACATGAGAGAAGACTGCCCATCTTTATCTCATACAGCAGTGGGTGGATTTGAACCGTGTGCCTTTGGAATGACAGCACAACTGTTTACCACTCAACCACTAGAGCTCCTTATCAATTAGAAAAGATTAAAAGGGGGACATATATCCAAGGATAAATGCCAGAGGGCAGGAAGGGAGGAGATAGAAGGATGCATGGAAACAAAATTACAAGGAGGAAATAGAGACAGTGATATTACAATGTGAGACTTAAAATCAGTGTCATAAAACAAAATGTGTATGAATAGTTGGATGGAAAACCAACTTGGTCTGCACTTTCACTCATAAAAGTGAAAAGTTAAAAAAGAAAAAATTTCCTACTCATTTCTGTTAAAACACAGATGAGGGAAGAACCTGTGTTTACATTTTTATAGAGGGCTTTGGAAGGGAAGTCAAGATAAGCAGAAATTCTAGATAAGGACAGAGGTCTCTAGAAGTAGTTAGTTCTATAATGAGGCAATTTGCAAGCAATATGATGTACCAAGAGTTAAGGGAATAAAGAGAAAATATTTGAAAAAGGTAAGAAATAACCATAAAACACAGCTCTATTTTTCCTGTGTTGGTCTATTTGGTTCCTTTGCCAGGATACATTCCACTCTACCCCATCTTCCAGAGCAGCCATGTATTATATACTTTGCTTCACTCTTTTCCATCATCCTGGTCTCTCATCATTCTGTGGTTGATTGATTGTGGATCATTAACAAGCAACAACCCCAGCAGCAAATTCTTATCAGGTGTATTAGAAATAATGTTGGCAACTTTGCTCCCATCTCAGTTAGGCATATCTCATCTCCTTTGAACTCAGAAAAGAGCAAGGATGCTTCTTACTGGTTTTTAACCTCACTAAAAGCGAACTCTGGTGGTATAATCTCTACTCAGTTGTGCAGCTAATTCAAATGTTGCGCATATTGGGAGTGAGAATCCACTGAAGGCTCTATAGGAGAGAGATAGATGATGCAGTCTTCTTCTGTAGTGATTTACAGCTTTGGAAACCTGATGGGAGCTCACTATAAGTCACAACTGACTCAGAAGCAGTGAGGTTTTTTTTAACACTAACAAAGACAGTGAGGGTGTCTTATAATTAGAAATAAAACATAATCTTAGAGGTTTAACTGAAAACTATTTCTTACATAGGCCCAGTTCCTTCAGGTCAGCGATGCTATGTAGAATATATGGCCTCTGAACTGGTTCTGCAGACCAAGATGATCAGAGGTGGTGTTCCAAAATGACCCACTTGCAAATGGCTTATAGCTATAGCATACATTCTACCAGAACTACAATCACAAGACTGTATAGAACCTACACAGAACCTACAGGGAAGAACTGAGTTACATTGCTCAAACCTATTTGAAGAAATTGAGATTAACAGCTTCAGTTTGCTTGCCTCCACAATCAACACTCTTGGTATCAGCAGCCAGGAAATTAAAAGATGAATTGCACTGGGAAAATTGGTTGTCAGAGATCTCTCCAAAGTACTGAATAGAAATGCTATCCGTCTGGAAACTAAGGTGCACTTAATTCAGGACATGGTATTTGCAATTACTTGGTATGCATCAGATAGCTAGACATTGACTAAGAACAATAGAAGAAGAATTTACACTTTTCAGTTGTGGTGCTGGAGAGGAGTATTAAACATACCCTGGAATGCTAGAAGAATAAACAGGTTCATCCTAGAGAGGTTGAGACCAGGCTGCTCCTTGGAGGCAAGGATTCTGAAGTTTCATCTGACATAATTTAGACATGTTGCAAGGAGGGGCCAGTACTTGGAGAGGGACGTCATGCTTGAGAGGGTGAAAGGATAGTGCAGGAGAGGAAGACCTTAGATGAGATGGATTGATTCAGTGACTGGGGTAATGGGGTAGGTGTGTCAGAGACAATAGAGTACGGTTTAGGGCTGTTGTACACAAAGTCACTATGAGTTGCAAGCAACTTGACAACACATAACAACAATTTCAAGGGTAGAGGGAAAATGAACATATTATGTTGACTTTTTGTAGGAAAAATAATGTGCTAAATGCATGTTATTAATTGCTACCAAATCTTTTCCAAGTCTTTTTATAGCGATCTTATGCACAACACACAATGTTGCCCTTCCTGTAGCATTCTTGCTATCATTGGAATGAGTTAACATCCTCCAAAGTGGCTTTTGTATTGATATATCTTTGTTTGACTGAAACTTGTCTGCATGGCTGACACTTGGTTTTTGAAATACTGGCTTTGGAACTTCCAGCATCATAGCAACATGCAAAGCACCACAGTACAACAAAGTGACAGATGAGTGACGGTTATATCTGCTACTGGTGCTATTTGCTGATGAGTCTATTCCAACTCATAATTACCTCATGCCACACAGTAGATCTACTGCATGACATCTGTATTCACACTAAAAGTGTGTTCAAAGATGAAGTCTTATATTCATGAATGATTGAAATGGAGCTTAACCTATGTCTTTCTATTAAATATGTTTAGTTCATAGAAATTGCCAAATATCTAGTACCATAATGGAAAAAAGAATGTTTGTTGCTTCCAGTATCATTATTGATGGTGAAAAATCTGAGCAATAATATTGTTATAGTGTTGAAAGTGTTTGTTGTTACTCTTAGTGAACTGTTTAAGGGTCACTATGTCAGTTTGCTTCAGGCTGTATTCTTTCTGATCACTTGCAATGCATCTGAGAGCTGCACAATGAATAAAGATGACCAAAAAAGAATTGATGCCTTTGAGCTGTGGTGTTGAAGAACAGTACTCAATATCCCATGGGCGGCCACAAGAATGAACAGGTATGTCTTGAAGAGGGTGCATTTAGAGTGCTCTTTGGAGGCAAGAATGATGAGGCTTTGCCTAGAGTATTTTGGACATGTTGCTAGGAGGTGCTATTTCTTATAGAAAGATGTGATGCTGAGAAGGGTGGAGGGTCGGCAAAGGAGAGGAAGACCCTGAAACAGGTGGATTGACATGATGATTGCTGCAATGGATTCTTGTGTGTGTTAGGAAGTGTGAGGATGGTGCAGGCTAGAACAGAGTTCAGATCTTATGCATAGGGTCCCTATGAGTTGTATTTGACTTGATGGCACACAACAGCAGCAGCAACAACAACAACACCACCATGTCACTTTGAAGACTAAGGTATACCTGATTCAGGCCATGGTCTTCTTAATCACCTTGATTCTTCATAAATTCATTGTAAACATATTTTTAAATGAACATAATGTAAAAATAGAAAAACCTATGCTTAAATATTCTATCTATATTGCTGTTGTTAGGTGGTGTTGAGTTAAGCACGACTCATATCACCCCTACAAACAAAAGATCTGAACCCTGTTCTATCCTGTGCTATCTCCACACTTCCTGATACAAAGAGTCCATTGTGGTAGTTCCTGTGTCAATTCACCCAACTGGTTGAGGGTCTTCCTTCCCTTCATTGACCCTCCACCTTTCCTCGCTTCATATCTCTCTCCAAGGATAGCCCCTCCTAGCAACATGCCCAAAGCATGTGAGGCGAAACCTCATCATTCTTGCCTCCAAAGAGCACTGGCTGCACATTTTCCAAGACATATTTTTTGTTTTTTTATCCATCCACTGGATGTTCAGTGCTCTTCTCCAACATCACAGCTCAAAGTCATCAACTCTTCTTTTGTCATTCTTATACATTGTCCAGCTCTCAGAGGAAAAAAAGGATGACAAAAGTTGTGATGCTGGAAAAGAGTACTGAATATCCCATTGACTGTCAGATAACAAACAGGTATGTCTTGGGAAAAGTGCAGCCAAAGTTCTCCTTGGAGGCAAAGATGGTGAAGCTTCATCTTTCATACGTTGGACAAGGCTACATGGAAAAGGACATCATGTTTGGAAAGATTGAAGGTCGGTGAAGGAAAGGAAGAACCCCAGTGAGATAGAGTGACATAATGACTTCAGCATTGGGCTCTAGTGTGTCAGAAATGATGAGGCACACGATAGGGCAAGGTTCAGGTTGGCTGTTCATAGGGTCCTTATAAGTCACACTCCATTTGGCAGCACTTAATGACAGTAACAACAACATAATGATAAAATAGGTTGAGGCTCAATATCAAGAAGATAAAGATTCTCATCGCTGGTCCAAGTGGCAGCATCAGAATGAATGGTGAAAATATTGAGATTGTTAACAGCTTTAGTTTGCTTGGCTCCAAAGTCAACACTCTTGGTATCAGCAGTAAATGAAAAGATTATTGTATTGGGAAAGTCTGCTGTCAGAGTCCTCTCCAAAGTACTGAAGAGCAATGATGTCAGTCTGGAGACTACGGTATGCCTATACACGTCACGGTCTTTGTAATCATTTGCTATGCATCTGAGATCCAGACAAAGACTAGGGATGATAGAAGGAGAATTGATGCCTTTGAGCTGTTGTGTTGGAGAAGAGTATTGAATATACCATGGACTGCTAAGAAAATTACCAGGTTCATCCTGGAGAGGTTAAACCAGGCTGCTCCTTGGAGTCAAGGATTCTGAAGCTTTGTTTGACAGAGTTTGGATATGTTGCAAGGAGGGACAATCCTTGGAGAAGGATATCATGCTTGAGAAGGTGGAGGGACAGCACAAGAAGGGAAGACCCTCTATGAGGTGGATTGATTCAGTGACTGGGTTATTTGGGGTAGGTGTGTCGGAGATAGTGAGATTGGCACAGGATAGAGAAGGATTTAGGGCGGTTGTACATAGGGTTGCTATGAGTTGCAGGTGACTCGATGGCACATAACACCATCACCACCACCACCACCAACAACAACTGGTGGCCTAATGGTAAGATGCTGCGCTGCAATCCCAAAGGCAAGTGGTTTGAATCCACCAGCTGCTCTGTGGGAGAAGGATGGGCATTCTCCTCCCATGTGATTTGCTGTCTCTGAAAACCTGTCGAGAGTTGCTATGAGTTGACTCTGACTCAACAACACACACAATAATATAATGATAAAACAGGAACTTTGATGGAACAATATTAAGTGCCTGGGTGCTAATTGAAAGGTTAGTGATTCAAACCCACTAGTGATTGTACAGAAAGAAAGTCCTGGTGATCAGCTCTCGTAAAAAATTCAGCCAAAATGCCCTATGTGACAGTTCTACTCTCATATAAGCTTGCTATCTGTGAGAATTCACTTGCTAACACACGACAGCATGATAAATGCACTGTATATTTCTCACCAATATCGTATGCTCAGATTCTCACGCATGGTAATCAGTCAGGGTCAATTGTGTTGTTGTTGTTATGTGCCGTTGACATAGTAACCCTATACACACCACCTCTGAACCCTGCTTTATCCTGTGCCAATCTTATTGTCTCTGACACACCTACCCCCATCACCCTTAGTCACTGAATCAATCCAACTCGTCAAGGGTCTTTCTCTCTTGTGCTCTCCCTCCACTCTTCCAAGCATGATGTCCCTCTCCAAGGACTGGTCCTTCCTTGCAACAAGCTCAAAGTATGTCAGATGAAGCTTCAGAATCTTTGCCTCCAAGGAGTAACTTGGTTTCACCCTCTCAAGGATGAACCTGTTTGTTTCCCTAGCAGTCCATGGTATTGTCAATATTCTTCTCCAGCACCACAGCTCAAAGGTTTTAATTCTCCTATCAAATATCTCTCCTATATACTATTTAAGTAAATTAAAATATTAACAAATGCTGCCATTTTTTGGTAATACTTTACCTCCCCACCAAATAACAATACTTAACTCCAATATGCATTTGTACTCTCTTGAAAGGCTACCTCTTCCAACTATCAGAAACCAACCCAGAATTCAGTTATGGGGTTGAAATGCAATTTTAAAGTTTCAATAGGGCTTTGACGGTCAAAATATTTTACTATAGAGTATTATTCTAATCAGGCTTGTAAGTTGAGTCTGTACACAGACATGACATTGATGCTATGTATTTTAAGTTTTGCTTTAAATCTATTGCTTTTTCTATCACTTAAAAGCTCCTTGTTTTGTTTGGAATGATTCTCTGTGTGTTTACATGCTTAATGAGATGCTTGGCGCCTAGTGTATGCTGAGGGAATTTTAAGTGAGTGAAGGTTGGAATAACATCTACTAAAGATTTTATTCTTCATGCACTTCATACTCCTCTTTACTCTGAAATATTAGAGCCGCATCTCTAAGGACTTTGGAAGGTTCCCTACAGTTTATTCAGATGCCTGAGAAATTAATAGGTGATTCCAAAAAAAGCTAATTCTCAAATATGTAAATGAACTGATGAGAATCAAGAGATGAGAGTGGTGACAAATAAGATACAATGGTAAAGAAAATACGGTTAACATGGAAAAGAAAATGCTGTGAACATGGAAAATGAAGAAACATGATGAAGAGCTACAGGGGAGAGAACATGATGAGAGCCTGGAGCCAGAGCTCAGTGAGGAAACTGCAAGATTTGTCATCTCATAAAACAAACAGGATTATGGGAAACTTTTAGTTTCTCCTTATTTTTTAATGAGACATAAAATCCAAAAGAGGTAAAATGATCCTTACTGATGTATTGTAATCAAGCTTTATGCAGACCTTTAATTTTTTTGTTCTTCATGACATTTCTGCATTAATTTTGATTATTTTATGTTGTAATTTTAAGTGCTGTGTTTCTTGATAGCAGTTTTTGTTAAATTGTGATAGCCAACAATGATGCTTCACTATATATTAAAAAAAATAGTCGCATGCCACTTTGTCCACAGCAGTTGAGAAAGGGAAGTAGACAGAATGAAGAGCTGTAAAGAGGCTGACTTTAAGTCAGAGTTGGAAGGGAAATGAGACACTGGATAGGAAGTTCAGTCTTGTGAGATTCTGTAGCATTTAATTGTTGTAGGCAGTGGCTTCGAGGGAAGGAGGTAGTCTGTTGGCAGTAGAAGAAAATTAGAACTGAGACACCCTGGGGAAGATTTGCTGAGAACAGAGATCAAAGGTCATCTTTTGCTGTGAGAAAGAAACACCTGCAAATGAAATGCTGTTTATGCAACTTGCATTTTTAGCTATCCTGCCCTTAGGCAGCAGCAATAAAGAAGGTAAGAAATCCTCTGGCAGCTCCTAGTCAGATGAAAGTGGATCGAGGCAGAAATGTGTAGGCTTCTGCATGATGTCTTTGGTCACAAAGTACAAAATCTGAGTAACCCTACCTCCAGGACTACTTTACATCCTTGAAAGCAGATAAGAGGCATGGGATCTTGTATTAGGCAAAAATAATAGCTAAACCACTTCATCTCCTTACTTAATCTTTTACTACCCACAGCCATCCTGGAACCCATATTATTTCACCTCATCCAGATAGCATCCTTTGCCAACCAAACCTGGGTACAAAATCAAGGCTCAGGTTGGCTGAACGAGTTGCAGACTCACGACTGGGAGAACGAATCAGGCACCATACGTTTCCTACACAGCTGGTCCAAGGGAAACTTCAGCAACAAGGAGCTGTTAGATCTGCAGCTGCTGTTCCGTGTCTACTTCATTGGATTTACTCGGGAGATTCAAGAGTATGCTAGTGCATTCAACCTGGAATGTAAGTTCAATTCCATCTGCTAAAGGATTTCTTCAGATTTAAAAAAAAATTATTTTGGTGGAGTAACTTTTAAGTGTGAACCATTTTCTGCTATCTCTTTGCCGTTGTAAGTATCTGTACATATAAACCTCTTGCGGGTAATTCCAACACCGACTTAAAAAATTCTTACTTCCTTTCACCTTTAGGAATCCGTGTTTGGAGTTTCTAAAAAAATGTTTTATACACACACACACACACACACATTCTACATAAAACATATGTTGTTGTCATTGTTAGGTGCCATGCAGTCGAGCATGACTCATAAAGACCATATAAACAAAAGATCTGAACCCTGTTCTGTCCTGCACCATCCTCACACTTCCCGACACACAAGAGCCCATTGCACAGTCCCTGTGTCAATCCACGTAGTTGAGGATCTTCCTCTCCTTCGCAGACCCTCCACCCTTCCTAGCATCATGTCCTTCTCCAAGGAACTGCATCTCTTAGCAACATGCTCAAAGTATGTGGGGGGAAGCCTCCTCATTAGTGCCTCCAAAAAGAACTCCAGCTGCAACATCACTAAGATGTATTTGTTTGTTCTCTTGTCTGTCCATGTGATGTTCAGTGCTCTTCTTCAACATCAGAGCTCAAAAACTTATGTTTTATATAGAAATATATAATTATAGTTTTATAAACATATTTTAATATGTTATAAATATACTTCCTAAAATAAGTATATTTTATAAACATTCATATTCTTATACATTATAACTATACAGATAAATGTATATTTTATACATTTTACTTTTAGGTTTTTAAAATGTATTTATGGTGAAAGTTTATACAGCATATGAATTTCCCATTTAACAATGTCTATACATTCTGTTCAGTGACATTGGTTATATGAATATAAAAACATTATTATTTATTATTTTCTTATTATTCTTATTATTTCCACTCTGGGTGTTTTAATTCTATAGTCTAGCTTCTCTGCCCTTGTTTCACATCTTTGCTGTATTAAAAATATTGACCATTTGGTTCTATCTATATATTTAGAGGAGCACAATACTTATATGTGATTTTGCTTATTTTATGAACCTATCTATTAGTTAGTTAAAAGATGACATCTGGGAATGGATCCAGTTCCAGGTTTAAAGAGCATCATGTCTAGATAATGGTCTCAGGGTCTTCTAATGCCTACTAGTTTAACCATCCTGGTTGGGTTTTTTTCCCCTTACTTTGCATTTTGTTCTACATTTCCTTCCCATTCTATTTAGGACTGTTCATTCCTTATTGGAACAGTTTTTCTAATTTCACTCTAAAAGAGGCTGTGATTCATGTGTACCGTTAGCCCTTTAGTCTAGTTTCTGGATTCTATTTTCCATGGTTTCTTTTTTCCCTTTAATGGTAAATATATATGTAATGAAAATATTTGTTATTTCATCATTATTCTTTATATATTTTAACATATATATTCACGGTGACATTAACTTATGTTGATCATGCTTTCCAACTATCATCCTTATGGAATTGTGTGTGTGTGTGTGTGTGTGAGAGAGAGAGAGAGTGTGATTTTTAAACTTTGCTAGTAGTCTCTCTCCCATAACCAAAAATCCAGAGTCATATAACTGAGCCATTCTGTGCTTGACTTTTTTATTATCTCTTTCCTCATTTCACTTTAACAATGATCTATGTCCATAGACCATAACCACTATGACCCAATTTCATTCACCCTGGAATACTATACTCATCTCTCTGAGACAAGTACCTTTACTTGTCTGAGTTTACTGACTTCTAACTTATTCACATACTAGTTACCCTAATCTCTCCAAAGCAAGCACTTTTGTATTGTGTATTTGATGCTTATCCTTCCTCCTATACAATTTTCACCAATTCTTCTTTTTCCTCTTATTGATCAATGGTATCCTTAGCCCACTTTTACACCCATAAACTTTCCTCCATGTGTCTTTACTACATGGCTTGAGCCTTATATCCTTCCTCTAATTTTTTCATATGATCTCTTTCTTCCCTCCCTCCCTCCCTCCCTCCTTCTCTTTCTCCAATGCACATTCCCCTAGACCCTTTTGAGATACAGGTGTCAGTTGGCTGTGAGCTGTACCCTGGAGACACTCCACAAGGCTTCTTCCATGTAGCTTATCAAGGGTCAGATTTCATGAACTTCCGAAATACGTCATGGGTGCCCTCTCCAGAGGGAGGGAGTAGGGCCCAGAATGCTTGCAATCTTATCAACCAGTACCAAGGCATCCTGGAGACGGTGCAGGGACTCATCAGGAACACTTGCCCCCGATTTCTCTTGGGTCTGCTGGATGCAGGGAAGATGTATCTCCACAGACAAGGTCAGTTAAATTCCCTTTCTTTAAGATATTTCCATTTCAAGTCTTGGTCCTTCTCACGGTTGCCTTAAAACTTAGGAAGCGGAAGAGAATAGTGACAGTGGGTGCTTGGTTATAGTTTCTTAGAAGGGTGGAGAGATAACTGTGCATGTAATGCAATATATATGCCCTTAAGCTCTGTGAGGAGCCCTAGATAAGCCCTGAGTTGTAGATATTAAGGGCAGTTCAAACCCACCAGCTACTATGTGGGAGAAAGATGTGGCCGTCTGCTTCCTTAAAGAATACAGCTTTATAAATCCTATGGAGCTGTTCTACTCTGTCTTAAAGTGCTGCTATCAGTCACAACCGCTACTGACTTTTGAGTTCAACTGTGTCTTAGAGTTATTATCTGAAGGTGTGTTATGTTCTCTGCAGTGAAGCCACAGGCCTGGCTTTCCAGTAGCCCTGCTCTCACTCCTGACCATCAGTTGCTGGTTTGTCATGTTTCTGGCTTCTACCCAAAGCCCATTTGGGTGGTATGGATGCGGAATGAGCAGGAGCAACCAGACACTAAACAAGGGGACATTCTTCCCAATGCTGATGGGACTTGGTATCTTTGGGCCACGCTCAATGTGACTACTGAGAAATTAGCAGGCTTGTCTTGTCAGGTGAGGCACAGCAGTCTGGGCAGCAAAGATATCATCATCTACTGGGGTAAGTTAAAGTATGGGCTGATTGGATGGTAATCTTCTTTAAAAGAATATTTTATTTTATATTGGTTTTCATATAAAATTGGCATACATTATGTTTCATTCATGTACATTGTGTTTCATATAATCATCCATATATTTTGGGTTTTATACAATTAATCACTATTGATTGATGCCTATTATTACCTCATATTTTGAGGTCCCCACTGGATCTTTCCTAATTCCTTCACCCAAGCCCCATTCTCCCAACAAACTCTTATCCTAGTGATTTCTATAATCTTTGAATTTAGAGTGTAGAATACAAGAAAAGTGGAAGGTGCCAGGAATAGGTGTGGGTGATATAGAGGAGAAGAAAGAATCTCCAGAGGGACTAAACATGGATGATTAAAAAAATAAAGTGTTGGGAAATAAGACTTTTCCAGAATAATGACTTTGTGAGGAAGTGAGGATTTTGTCTTTGATTGAGGGTGGACATGATGCCAATGAAATGGAAGAATTATTAATTTAGCTTTCATCCACGCTAAGTAAAATAGGAGAATTAACAGAATTAAATTGAGACTATATTTCAAATTACATTCAGACATCTTTCAAACCTTTAGGACAACAACACAGCTCAATGAACTTGATTTTGGCCGTTACCATGACGTTGGTGCTTCTGATAGGTCTCGCATTATGGTCTAAGAAGCGTTGGTGAGTTCTTTGTATGCCCTCCTCTAGTGTCAAATTCTTGCTCTGTTTTCTTTGTTAGTTTCTTTCTTTTAGCACTTTGTCTTTACCATCTTCCCTCTCCTTTATTTATTCATCACCTTAAAGAGAATTTCTCCTTCTCTATTCTTTTACAGTTCCTATCAGCACATTCTATGAGCCTTTTTACCAAGCCTCCTCCAGTGGACCAGAAGAACAACAATCCAGGATCTAAGCACTATACTGACATGAAACTGTCTGCTCTTCAATGACAGGAGTATTTATGGTTTTGCTTTGTGATATTTGTTAATTGTAAAATTGTTAAATTGTTCAATAAAAGTACTGTGTATGCTATAACTTGGTATAAATATCCATGTTTTTAGTGGTATTCAATATTTAAAACCCATTTCTGATGTAATTTCTTCCAGAAGTCTTCTCTGAGTCACAAGTAAAAAATGTCTCTTTATCTTTTTGAATTTCCATAGAACCTTAACTATATTCTGATACATTTAATCCTTTCTACCAACAACTGAAGCAATTCAGTTCCTTCCTCTGCTTCTTCTTGAGGGGGTGGGGTGAATCTTAAAAAAGTTTCTGAACTGCGTATAATATGTGCTCAGCTGAAAAACAAAACTCCAATTTTAACAAAATTTCCAATTTAATTGTCACCTCGATATCATTTTTCCATTTCTTTTCTTCCAGACAGCATTGTAATCTTCAAAGCATTGATTCATTCCTTCTTTAAAGCCTTATTAGTTGATAAAGAAATTCACATTCTACTAGCTCCTTAATTTATACCCTGAACCTTTAAATAAAAGTAGATTTTGCACTCAAACTTATTTTTACACACACGCACCCCCCCCCTCCCCAGACAGTGAATAAGGGTGACAGAAGAATTGATACTTTTTGTGGTATTGGATAAAAGTACTGAATATCTCATGGACAGCCAAAAGAACAAACTGATATATCTTAGAAAAAGTGTAGCCAGAGTGTTCCTTTATTGGCAAAGATGTTGAAGCTTCATCTTTCATACTTTGAACATGTAGCTAGGTGAGGCTATTCTTTGGAAATAGACATCATGCTTGGAAAGATGGAGGGTAAGTGAAGGAGAAGATCCCCAATAAGATGGATTGACACAGCCTTTCTACAAAGATGATGCACAAAGCTGAGGAAAGCAAAAAAAAAGGCCCCTGCCCTTCCCAAAATTGAAGCCAAAAGCAAAGGTGTTAAAAGGCCAAGAAGGCAGTCCTGAAAGGCATCTCCAGCCACACACAAAAAAGAGTACCCACATGTCTCCCACTTTCTGGTGGCCTCAGACACTGAGACTGTGAAGGCAGCCCAAATACCCCCAGAAGAGCACACAACACAACAATGCATGGGAATGATATCCGAAACACAATGTGGATGAATGAAGGATAGTGTGAAACAAATGTATACAAACTTTGCAAGCAAAGCAATATAAAATTAAATTTTTTAAACACATTTTTAAAAATTAGAAAGTTACTTTTCTCATTATTTTGGAAAAACTTTGAAAACTAAATAGATTATTTTTATGCAGTTTATTAAGAAACTTTTAGATAAATTTTTAATTTACTAGTTTCCACTTGTAATATTGTTATTGTTGGCTACTTCAGAATCAGGCCCAACTCCTAGTACTTTATGAACAAGTGGTATAAATGCTAAAACTCAATCCTGCCCAATCCTAATCCAACCTCATGACAGGTTGGGTATCCCACTATTGGGATTCATTGGGTTTTCACTAGTTATTATCTAGAAATAGATTGCCAGGACTTTCTACTCAGTCTGTGTTAACCTGGAATCTGATGAAACCTGTTCATCATTGCAACACAGGAATCTTCACTGACAGACAGATGTTGTCTGTATGTGAAATGCACAAAAGGGTATAAAATCCGTATTTCCTGCATGGAAGGTGAGAATTCTACCACTGAACTCGCCACTAACATCTATGTACTCTTCATTATCTGTTTCTCATTATATTGCACAATAATAAATGGTAGATGGTATTGTTAATAATTTGTATTAAAATAGGAATGTTTCTTTTACTTTTGAAAGAGAGGAGCAAACTGGGGTGGGGGAGGGATGGGCGGGGAAAGAAGTGTAGCAATGAATGAATGGAAATCCAAAATCTCTGCAAATACTCATTAAAATTATTTTTAAAAAAAAGAAAGTCATTTTAAAACCAAAAGATTCAGGATGTGGATACAAGCAGTAAATGAGACCAACAGACATGCTTCAAAGATTTATAACCAAAGCTGAATCTGATCACCCCTCTAAATCCAACTCTCGATATATTGAAATAGGTACACACAAGTGTGAGAAATTACTTCATAGCCATGAAGTCAGTGAAGTCCAGGCTGTGAACAGTCACTTTCCAAGATAAATTTCCCTGTTATTGAAAACACAAACATTTCAATGCAAGGACGTTTTTATTTATTTTTTTAACATTGGTTTGCAAACTAAGTTCATATACATTGTGTTTCATACTACCCTTTGTTCACATTGTGTTTCATATAATAACATAATTCTCATTCATTAGGTTTTATAAAATGAATTACCATTGAACTATGTCCACTATAACCCTGTCCTTCCTGAACCCCACTGGATCTTTCCCATTTCCTTTAACCTCCCCTCACCCTACAAAATTGTGTGACCCTATGATTTCACCTCTGTCCACCTTTACCCTGTTCTCATCCCTTTCCACCTTGAATCCCAGATACATTTTACTAGTTATCTTTCCGTTTTTACAATTATGGTCATGCATACTTATCCTTATGAGACCGAGTTAGTTCACTCAGGTTAATGTCCTACAATCTTTCCCAAGTTATTTAGTAATTTTTGAAATGGTTGCTCCTGAGTGCTGTGTAGTATTCCATCATGTATTCACATGTACCACAATTTCTCAATCTATTCAACTGTAATTGGGCTATTTCCACATTCTTGTGATTGTGAATAATGCTGTTATGAACAATGTTTGTTATGTACGAATCTTTGTGTCTCAGTTCTCATTACACTAGGGTATATTCCTAGCAGTGAAATGGCTGGATCATATGGAAATTTTATGTTCAGGGTTTTTCTTTAAATTTTATACTAGCTTATTTAAAAAATTCAAATACATTGTTTTAAAGAACAAATTCAGCTTTTTGAGGAAATGCCAAAGTGCCTTCCAGTGTGGTTGGACCATTTAACAATTCCACCAACACTCTATGAGAGTTCAAATCTTTCCACATCCTTGACAGCAAATACTTATTGCTTGTTGTCCTGTTAAACTTTGCACTACTATTGGAGTGAGATTGTAGCTCATTATGGTTCTGATTGGCATCTCTCTTTTTGCTAATGATTTTCAGCATGTCTTCATGTGTCTGTTGTCCATCTTAATGTCTTCCTCTATGAAAAGTCTTTCCATGTTTCTTACTCATTTTTCAATTGGTTATCAGTGTTTTTCTTGTGGAGGCCCTGCAGGATTCTGTAAACTTCTGTCATGAGACCCTTTCCTGAGATGGTATTGTTGTTGTTGTTGTTG